GCGTCATCCTCTGAGAAGCGTGTGCTGGTGGGTCGGTCTGCAGTCAGCCCCGATGTGGGCCCCCAGCCCATTAATGAGGCTGCAGTCAGACAGCATGTCGGCTCCCTTCCCCTCTCCCCAGGGCAGGTGTCACTTTGGGGGTGATGTTTGCACAGTGCCAGGCTTGTGGCACCGCTTTTGATGGGCTCTGGCCAAAACGGTGCTGGAGTCGGTGGGTAGCTCTGGAGCATGTCGGGGCAGAGTGTGTGCCATCAGCGAGGTTCCTGAGGGCCTCCTGTAGGGGTGGGCTTGCAGCTGAGCTCTGGCTTTGGGGCTGTGTTAGCAAGGACAGTATTTGTGCTGCATGGGTCCAGCAGGTGTCTGTGTATCGAGGTGGGGGAGGGAAATGGTGCCTGCTGCTCTTTTGTTCTTGGAGAAATTTCCCAAAGATCCCTGCCCCTGCAGCACACATTTTGAGACTAGGAAACAAATCTCTGTGCTGTGTAGCCCGGGCGTTTTGCATAGTGCTGCTTCTGTGCGGTCTCTTTAAGGCTGGGGACACCATTTCCTCTCACCCTCCAGCTCTCCAGTCATACCCGCTCAGTTTGAGAGTTCCAGGTGTTCAGCCCTACGGATGGAGGAATTTGTGGAATTATATCCCTCTGCTTTTCAGAGCCCGATGCGATGGGGCTTTGTCTTCCCTACGTGGCTGCCCCGTGCCTCGGGAGGCTGGGGTGAGGCTCTCTTTCTTTCTGTCTCCATGCCCATGGAGTCCCTCTCTCTGGGGACACTCCTGCAGGTTGGGTTCATTGCCAACCGTGTCTCCACCCTTCCTATACTCTCTTCGAGGTGGCGTCTTGTCTCCATGTAGCTGTGCGGAGTCTGTCCTGCCGGTCTTCAGGAGGTTTTCTGGGTTACGTACGCTGACACACTGCGGGGGGTGTCCTGCTGTATCTGTGTGGTGCTGTGAGCTTCAGACCTTCCCACTCTGCCATCTTCCCTGCAAGTCCAAGAAAATGATACTGAACGCCGTGGGCATGAATGACATTGTTCATAGAGGTGGGGTATACAGAGATGGGAGGGCCATGAACTCGGGCAAAGCAGCGTCTAGAGCTGACGGGGGGTGGAGTCGAAGGGAGTCACCGCATGTCACTGGACAGAGGGGAAGGAGGTGACCGCGTGTCACCAAAGCCAAGGGGGTGACCGAGTGTCACCAGATGGAGTAGAAGGAGGTGACCGTGTGTCACTGGTCGGAGTCAAGGGGGGTGACCGCCTGTCACTGGACGGAATCAAGGGGGGTGACCCCCTGTCACAGAGTCAAGGGGGGTGACCACATGTCACCGGAGTAAAAGGGGTGACCGTGTGTCACCGGATTGAGTAGAAGGGGGTGACCGAGTGTCACCGGATGGAGTTGGGGGTGACCGCCTGTCAACGGATGCAGAAGGGGGTGACTGCGTGTCACCGGATGGAGTTGGGGGTGACCGCGTGTCACCGGATGGAGTAGAAGGGGTGACCGTGTGTCACCGGATGGAGTAGAAGGGGGTGACTGAGTGTTACTGGATGGAGTAGAAGGGGGTGACCGAGTGTTACTGGATGGAGTAGAAGGGGTGACCGTGTGTCACCGGATGGAGTAGAAGGGGGTGACCGAGTGTGACTGGATGGAGTTGGGGGTGACTGAGTGTGACTGCATGGAGTTGAAGGGGGTGACCTGGTGTCACCAGATGGAGTTGAGGGAGGTGACCGAATGTCACAGTGCCTCCTCTTAGGAAAGCAGGACCATGTTGTAAAGAATGTGTAGGATTCTTAGACTCCCTGGAGTCCTCAACTGTATACCATATATCATTGTATTGCAGCAAATTGGAATCAATCCCCTGAACAGGGAACGTCAGCCCCACAGTGGACAGGAATCCGTTCCTACCTCATGGCTTTCTTACCTGCTTCCTTGCGGCCAGAACTCACCATCCCATACGGTAGCCATTAGTGACCTGTAGTTGTCTGAATGTAAATTGATTACAGTGAATTAAGAATTTGATTCTTCAGTCACACTAGCAGTATTTCAGCTGCTCTACAGGCAGGAGTGACTCGGGGCCACCACACGTAGAATATTTTCAACATCGTAGACAGTTGTGTGGGTGGTGCTGGCCAGAGGACCTGCTCACAGCCATCTACACCGCCCACGCCATCCACCAGGCCTGCCCATGGCCGTCTACACCGCCCACGCCATCCACCAGGCCTGCCCATGGCCGTCTACACTGCCCACAGCCATGTACTCTGTCGACACCACTGCCAGGCCTGCCCATGGCCATCTACACTGCCCACGCCAACCGCCAGGCCTGCCCATGGCCATCTACACTGCCCACAGCCATGTATTTTGTCCACGCCACCGCCAGGTCTGCCCACGGTCATCTACACCGCCCACGGCCATCTACACCAACCACGCCAACTGGCAGGCCTGCCCATGGCCATCTACACTGCCCTTGGCCATCTACACTGCCCACGGCCATCTACACTGCCCACGGCCATCTATACTATCCACACCACCACCAGGTCTGCTCACGGCCACCTACACTGCCCACGGCCATCTACTCTGTCCACGCCACCACCAGGTCTGCCCACGGCCATCTACACCACCCACACCCATTTACTCTGTCCATGCCACCGCCAGGTCTGCCCATGGCCATTTACAGTGCCTCTGGCCATCTACACTGCCCACGGCCATCTACACTGCCCATGCCAACCGCCAGGCCTGCCCATGGCCATCTACACTGCCCACGCCACTGCCAGGTCTGCCCACAGCCATCTACACTGCCCACGGCCATCTACACCGCCCATGCCAACTGCCAGGCCTGCCCATGGCCATCTACACTGCCCACAGCCTCTACACTGCCCACGCCACTGCCAGGTCTGCTCACGGCCATCTGTACTGCCCACGGCCATCTACACTGCCTATGGCCATCTACACCGCCCACGCCACCACCAGGCCTGCCCATGGCCATCTACACCACCCACGCCAACCACCAGGCCTGCCTATGGCCATCTACACTGCCCACACCAACCGCCAGGTCTGCTCAC